GTTTTGGGTTAATAATAATAATAATATTGATACAGTCAAAATATCAAAAATAATAAAAGTAATATGTATATTGTTATTATATAGTCGCAGTACAAGCTAGGGTTGAGATATACAGACGGCAGAGTAATGGAGTATTATACGGAATATTCACAATATATACTTATCTTGGACTCCTAATCTCCTATATATACGTAATTATACTCTATACACACGGTAGAGTAATACGAGTATAATGGAGTCTGCAACTTCCTCCTAAGCACACGATCATATATCTTTAGACTAGCTAATCTATATATATATATCTGTAGTTTATTGATAGATCTCTTCGATCGACATTGCTTAGCTTTGGCGGAAACATGTTGAGCTCCAAGCCTTTTTCAACTCTTCTTCTACTCTCGTTTGTTGCTTTGTGTGTGTTTCAATCACCAGTTTTTGCCACAAAAAAGGTTCTTTAATCAAACTAACATACGAAATTGATAGGAATTGATTGTTGAATGTTTCATAGATTAAGGAATATATATAATTGTGCATGTTTGTAGTCCTACATAGTGTACTTGGGAGGACATTCTCATGGCCCGGAGGTAACCTCGGAAGATCTTCGTCGCGTCAAGGACTCACACCATCAATTTCTTGCTTCATTCTTGGGAAGGTACGTATTTTACAATATTGCAACTCAATAATTCAAATGTAAATAAATGATCAAATCTTGATTTGGATCAATCAAATACTACGTAAATGATAGATGTATCGATACTTAATTATGGGTATCGTAGCATTTATCTTAAATATAACAGTTTAATTTGTACATTGATATATATATATATATATATATATATATATATATATACATTCCAAATTTATATATATACCATATATATGTATTATTGCAGTGTTGAGAAGGCTAAGGATGCCATAATCTACTCTTACAAAAGACACATCAACGGTTTCGCAGCTCTCCTTGAAGAACACGAAGCTGCCAAGATCTCACGTATATATAAAACTTAGCTTTTTATATAAATTAAATACATCTTCGCTTATTATTCATTTTAGTTTTCTTGCGTTTTAGACTTTAACTAGTAATCCATAGTATTTAAATAAGACTAATTATATTTTATTATCAAAGTATCACATATCTAAATAATAAAATCGGTTTATATTTATTTTTTAAGAACAAATTTATTTCTTCTATTTTGGGAAAAACAATAGTGATCCTACATATAATAATATATGTTATGTTTTGATGCTATTTATGACTTCTATCTCAGTTGAAACTTGAAAGTACTAGTGCGTCTATCAATGTTCGATTACTTCAATTTTGTTAGACTTCTTCAGTGTCTATGAAATTAATATTAGACTTCAATTTATTTTGTTCAATTTATATACTAGTTAAGTATTCATGATATTATTTAAAATAATATTAATAATTCGAAGTACATAATTAGTTATGGAATATAGATATATAGACGTAATTTCTAGTAAATTGTAAAATTAAGGTTATTAATTTGATTTATAAGACACTGAAAGCAACTAATGTTAACCGCAAGATTAATGGAGAATAACCTTATTCATGGTAAGACTGGTAGGCGACGTTAAGTCTTTACCATAACCAAATTAAACGTACCAAATTAACCTTATTCATGGTAAGACTGGTAGAGACTAATAATGATGACACCAATACATATATATAGAATGTTCCTTAATTTCATAAAAAAAATGTTCCTTAATTAAAACAGTAGTTTTCTCAAGTTTAGGTAGAGGTAAAAGTGAATGGTATTATTTGGCCTGTTTCAAAATATATTGTTATTTTTTATAAGGTGTTTATATATATATATATATATATATATATATATATATATATATATATATATATATATATATATATATGGGAAACTATCAAATAAGCCCTCGTACTATATCAAAAAAGTTGATTAGGCCCTCGTACTTTACAAACACTCAATTAAGTCATCGAACTATTAAAAAACATTCAATTAAGCCCTTTCGGTCGGTAAGTAACCGGTTTCCCGGTTAAATGTAACATGTTTCCCGGAAGCTGACGTTGCTGGGGTTCGAGCACATCGTCGCCATCGTCGTCGTTTAACCGGGAAATCGGTTACTTACCCACCAAAAGGGCTTAATTGAACGATTTTTAATAGTTCGATGACTTAATTGAGTGTTTGTAAAGTACGAGTGCCTAATCGACTTTTTCGGTACACTACGAGGGCTTATTTGATAGTCTTCCCTATATATATATATATATATATATACTACCAGTGAAATAATTATTATACACTCTAATTTAGTTGAATTTTGCTTTACGGGTATGATCTTGTAGAGCATCCGGATGTGGTTTCTCTTTTCTTAGACAAAAGAAGAAAGCTCCATACTACTCATTCATGGGAGTTTTTGAATTTGGAGAAGAACGGCAAAATTTATCCAACTTCTCTGTGGAAGAAGGCGCAGTTTGGCCAAGACGTTATTATTGCAAATCTTGATACCGGTAACTAATCTCACATTAAGAGAATACTTGTACAACATCTATTCACTCTTATATACTGATTTTCACCTTAATAATAATTAGTGCCATATAGAATTACATGTACTTCCACACTCACACCAAAGGAATGCTGAAGTTATCATTATTGTCAAAGGGAGTTGAGGCTTATTGGGTTGGCAAGAATGTACTTGGGGATGTGCATTTCTTCTTATTGTCGTTTTTTCCAATTTTTTGGTACAACTATGTTTGGCGTACATATAATTGTACACATATTGTGTACACCATGTCTAGTTGTCTGTCTATCAAACAGCGTATTAATAAATGTCTTTAGTAGACACACAACTAAAGAGGGATACACAATATGTGCACGAATTATGTGTACCAACAACATTTTGATTTCCTTATCCTTAATAAAACTTCCTTCTTAAAAAATAGAATTGTAGTGCCAAATAGTATACTATCGTATATGATAATGAATTGATTTTGACATATGTATATACTCCATATGAAGGTGTTTGGCCAGAGTCAGAGAGCTTTAGTGATGTTGGTTTCGGTCCTGTTCCCAAAAGATGGAGAGGGTCTTGCCAAAATGAAACTAGTCCTACCGGCGTTCGTTGCAATAGGTATTATGCTCTCTCCTTATTTTGCAAAACACTCTTAATTTACACGTAGCATAAAAGACATCAATTTGAATAATAATGGGACACATAAATTATTTCAGATTATATATTATAATTACATTTATAATTCAATCGGGGTCCTCCTTTAAGAAGTGCAATAGGTGTTTGGCACTGAGGTCCACTCATGTATGGGGCCTCCAAAGTTTTAGAATGTAATATTATATTAGTTATAAGTTTATTTTTATAGATGTTATGTACTCCCTCCGATTCCTAAAGAAGTTCCACATTTGACTTCACACATATTAAGAAAATAAATTTGACTTTACTGTGGAGTGCACTGTTTGGCACTGTTTGAACACTGTTTGGCACTGTTTGACACTGTTTGACACTGTTTTGATGTAGATAATAAGGAAATGTTTGAAAGTGGAACTTAATTTTGAATCTGCCCGAAAAGGAAAGGTGGAACTTGTTTCAGAAACGGAGGGAGTATTATTCAAGATTTCAAAAGCTATATAATTTTTAGATTCTCTAATTTGTGCATTTTAAACATCATAAAACTCACATTTCATTGAAATGTCTAATCTACGCTTTCCATCATTTGCAATGGAGCCAAAGATTCATTATTTTTTGGCTTGAGATTATGATGGAATAAAGCAAAATGGCTCACTAAACTGTTTGCGCTTCTTTGTTATGAAACAACAGTCAGTCCATGCAATTTTGGACGTGGTTTTCACTACGGGTCATTCGGAAACAGTCTCTGTCTGCTTTAGTGAAGGGATAAAACTTTGTACATCTGACCCCCCTTACCCCACCGTAGGTGGGAGCCCTTTGCGATACTGGTGTAAATGAAAATGAAATGAACTGTCTAGTCTACATGTATTTCATTGTTCAAATTTGTAATTTTATTGTTTTAGGGGGTCTTAATTTTCCATTTGGAATCAGGGCCTCTAAATTCATTAGAGGGCCCTGAATTCAATATTAATGGACACTAAATTATTTTAGAAATACCAACGGTTGGCGTAGATTTCAAAGTCACTTCTACTAAAATCCGATCATTGATCAATTCGATCATTTACCTTATACTTCGTATAATAATTTTGTCACTTTTTCTTGAAATAAATGATTAAAACAAATATCTTTCTACGTAGTAATTAACATACATCTACTATCAAAGACAAACTAAATACTCCTTTTTACTCTAAAAAAATCTCTTAATAAATTAAATACTTCCTCGATTTCACTAAACTTCTCTATTTAACCGCCTCAAAAGATGGCCTTATCTTATCTAATATGTTTTCCTTTAAATCATGATTTTAATTGGACTGAAATTTTCTGGTCTAATTTGATCTGATCTGGTAGTTTAAGGTTGATCTAATTAGTTTGATCATATCTCATATGTTCTATTTTTCTTTACACCAATGTGTGTTACGATTTCTTTTATTTTCTTATTTCACATCATTCTCAACTCTTGTAGGACAAATTTGTTATTAGCAATACAAAGACGATCCTATAAAAAATTATTATCCACATACAAATATTTCACTTCTTAATTTTTAGTTTTCTATAGTCCATACTCTGTTCTTAATACTAAAATAACGCATTTGTTACATTTTGACTTTGATATCTCCTAAAATAGCCAAATTAAATTTAGTTAGTTTTTAAATACTCCCTCCGTCCCTTATAACTTTGCCAACTTTCCTTTTTTGGTTGTCTAAAAAACTTTGCCACTTTCCCTATTAGTCAATCAATTTGTGGTTTCTGTTATTTCTCTCTCCTCTGCACAATTCTCTACCACACAGTTTTTACTTTATTATTCTACGTGACAGTCAAACATGACAATCCTTTTAGGGACGGAGGGAGTATATAATAATAAATGGACTTTGTAGGAAGTTGATAGGAGCAAAATACTTCAACAAAGGGTTTCTTGCAAGTGGGGCTAATGTGAGCCACGACCAGAACACTCCTAGAGATTTCGAGGGCCATGGCACTCACACACTATCCACTGCCGGCGGCAACTTTGTACCCGGATCAAACGTATTCGGCGCCGGAAACGGCACTGCCAAAGGCGGATCTCCCCGTGCCAGGGTGGCCGCTTACAAAGTATGTTGGCCTACTACCGGTGAAGGCGGGTGTTTCGATGCAGATATCATCAAGGCCATGGATGCCGCCATCCACGACGGCGTCGACGTCATTTCGATGTCACTCGGCGGGGATCCGTCGGACTACTTTTCAGACGGGATTGCGATTTCTACATTCCACGCCGTGAGGAGGGGTGTGGTTGTTGTTTGCTCCGCCGGTAATAGTGGACCCACTGCAAAGACGGTGTCCAATGTTGCGCCGTGGATTATCTCCGTCGGTGCAAGCACCATTGATCGAGAGTTCCGAGCAAATGTAAATCTGAAAAACGGCATGGTCATAAAGGTAAGTCTATTGTCTCTATACAATGAAATGAAAAATCATATAAATGTTAGGGGATGTTTGGAAGTGATTTAATTCTGCTTCTTTTTTAAAGTATGAAGCAAAATGAGAATCAGTTTTCGGGAGCTGGTACCCAACTTCTAAAAAAACTGAACTGATTCTGAGAGTAAATCAGAGCAAGTGCTTTTGGAATTTCACCCAAACACTCCAGCTTAAAAGTGCACAATTTGAGTTGTTATTCCTTCATTATTATGACTTATTTCGTTATATTAAAAACTTAAAATGTATACAATTAAAGGTAGATAAATCCCATTTTAGAAAGAAAATAATACTCCCCTCAACCATGTAGGGAACCAGCGTTGCAGCAGGAATGCCGCAGAAATTCTTTCCAATTGTCAATTCTGCTGATGCAAGAGTTTCCAATTCAACCGGCCAAAATGCGTAAGAGTTTTTTTTGGGTGTGCTTTCTAATCTATTATAGCATCTGTTCTTGTTAATTGCCAACATCCATCCTTATCTGGTCCTCCCCGGTAGTGTCTGAATTGAACCACAAGGTAGTTGGCATATAAGAAGTTAAACAAGAATCCTGATTTATATATGTCTCATTTTTCTAAAAAATTAAGTTTATGCTGTGTACGTTAATACCTAAATGAAGGATTGAATGAATGAAGTTGATGAATGTGTGCAGGACACTATGCATGGTAGGGAGTATTGATCCTGAAAAGGTGAAGGGGAAAATATTAGTTTGTACACGAGGGGTTAACTCACGAGTGGATAAAGGAGAGGTTGCGGCCAATGCAGGGGCTGTGGGAATGATACTGTGCAACGACAAGGCAAGCGCGAATGAGATCATCGCAGATGCTCATATGCTACCCGCCACTCACATCACTTATGAGGATGGCCTTAAGCTTATTCACTATCTCAGCAATTCTAAGTATTCTCTTTAATTACCTTTATTACACTTTCCATCACCTTACTAACTAAACTTAGTTTAATTCCCTTGTTTGATACATGCGTCCATCCATCTATGATTAATTACCCTAATGCACAAAAAACCTTCCTTGCTCCACCTAATTGGTAGCTAGTCATCCATACGGATAAAACTGCCAAGAAACTTCCCAAATCCTCATTTCCATTTTGCCACCTTTGATGTCATAAAGACATAAACGTAATAGAAAGATTAGGTTATTGGGAAAAATAAAATCCCAGAATATAAGTCGACAAGTTTAGTTATGAGCGTATGACTAGTTAGAGAGGAGGGCAAAGCTGGAACATGTACGTTATGGTCATTCCTTACCTGTATTTGCTAGGTGGAAAAAACTAGAACAAAAAAGCTCTAAAAGACCGGATGATGTAATACATAGCATACATCATCATTTAAGGGAAAATATAGATATGAGTCATGTATCATGAAACATACAAGCTTTTAGCAGTCTCATGGAGGTAATTTTCTCATTATGTATTTGGACCCAAAAGTCTATGTGTAGCGATGAGACTTTGAGGAGCAGGTCATCTACTTGAAGGGGTCGCATGAACACTAAGTTCTGCTCAAACTACCACGGTCCATTCTCCAGAGCAGAGTGATATTACTTCATGATAATAACTCCATTCAACAGGCTCCAGAGCCTTTTTACTTTCTTTTAATGGGAATATATTGTACTTTTCTAATTTATTTTTGCTTAGACTTGAAATTTTTTCGAAAGATAAAAGTCACATATGATAGTATATACCTTCTTTTATTTCATAATTGCCATATCTTTTCATGCGTTCTTCTTATTGAGCTCTTACTATTTTACTTTCTCTATCCTTAGCTTGTTAGTATTTATACAATTTCAAAGCTCTTTGAAATAGTCTAGTGAAAGAGTGACAAAATTATATTTTAACTATGGCTGTAGAGATCCACAAGGGTATATAACGCCCTCAAAGGCATTCTTGCAAACCAAACCAGCGCCTGTGATGGCAGCATTCTCATCAAGGGGTCCGAATAGCATCACTCCTCAGATTCTCAAGGTTACTAGTTGTTAATTGTTGTTACAATAAATGCACTCATTATTTTATTGTTTTAATTTTTTGTCAAAAACATGTTGTAGTTTAGATTGGGGAACATAGTCGCGCATATATAATAATTTTCAAGAAATTATACCAAACAGGAGTGAAGATGTTTATAGTGTATTGGTTTGAATCTAAGACTAGACAAAGGTTTAAATAGATCAAATCGGACTATACAAATATTTAAACAAACCAAATTAGACTAGACAAACTTAAACATACTTGAATAGGCTAGACTTGGATAATACTACGTAGTAAAATACACATGATGGCAAACATATTACGAGACCAGTTTAGACTAGACCATAAAACATCTAAAAACGTGTACAAACTTTTAAACAAGACTAGTATGTTTTGACCTACAATGAGACTGGGTTCTACTAAAAGAATAAAATTAAACAATTTTTCCAAAAAAAAAAGAATAAAAGAATAAATTTAGGACGGGTATCTTCTCTAATTAATTGTATTAAATCTTCTTTCTTTCTTTCTTTCTTTTAAGCCTGATGTGATAGCCCCAGGAGTGAATATTATAGCGGCATATTCTGAAGAGACAAGCCCAACAGGTCAAGTCTACGACACCCGTAGGATTCCTTACAATGTTGATTCTGGGACATCTATGGCTTGCCCTCACATTAGTGGTATTGTTGGCCTTCTACGGAGCGTCCATCCTGACTGGACTCCAGCTGCCATTAGGTCCGCCATTGTCACCACAGGTATATATATATAAATATATATGGAGTACAGTTACGTTCTAGCTAGCTATCTTTGAATTGCCATTCAATTCTAGATCAGAACATAGTATGGCTTTTTATTTAGTCTTTGGTTGCAATAAATAAAAGTATAAAATGTACTCGCTAATCAAGTTAGACTATGGCAAGAGTTTTGGTAGTGGAAAAGTCAAATAGTTATAACTTATTTCTAGTCTTAAAGTGATATGGAGTTGTTAAAAAGTAATTTTCTTGATCACCACAAGTCTTTTGTTTCTAATGTTGAAACACTTTTTCATCTAAGTTAAGTAAGTACACTCTATAAATCTAGTTTCTAAGTATAAAAGAGTTTAGTTAATACGGAGTAACAAATATATCAAGTATTGACTGACGTACAGGAAATAAATAATTCTATGTACATTTAACTTTGCAAGTCTTTTTTCCTTCGTAATCTTTTATAAAGAATGAATAAAGAAGTAATTAATCTACTAGTATTATTCATAGAACAACATATTCCAACAAAAAGTATTTCACAGAAGTATTTTTATACAGATCATTTTCCTCGCAAATTACTACCATTCGTTTGGATAATACTTTTTTTTCTTGGAATATTATGTATAGCCCGAGTGAGAGACAACACGGGCAGTCATGTAAAGGATGCTAGCTACGCAGAAGCAACGCCATTTGCCTACGGCGCCGGTCACGTCCGACCAAACCGTGCCATGAACCCTGGCCTGGTCTACGACCTGACCGAGATGGACTATCTAAATTTCCTCTGTGCGAGCGGCTACAACCAAACCACCATGAGCAAATTCTCAGGCGCAAAGCATTATACATGTCCCAGCAATCTTGACCTCTTGAATGTCAACTACCCCGCCATCACTGTTCCCAACCTCTCGGGCTCGGTCACCGTCACTAGAACTGTCAAGAATGTCGGTAAACCAGGAACCTACACTGCCCTGACATTTGAACCAGATGGAGTTTCTGTATCTGTGGAGCTTCGGACCCTCCATTTCAAGGAAACAGGGGAAGAGTTGAAGTTCAAAGTAACTTTAGAGGCCAAGAAGAAAGTTGAAGGTCACGTTTTTGGCGAGTTGAAATGGTTTGATGGGATTCACTACGTGAAAAGCCCCATAGTTGTTGCTATGTCTTGAAGCTGCGTGCCTATGCTTAGGGTTAGACTTTAGGTTATATTCCGTAGCTAATTATAGCAAATATAGTTGATTAGTTGAACGGAGTTACTCCGGATTTAGTTTAGCTTCAATATTTGTTTACTTTTGCTTTACTAAATGCTGCATAAGACCTATTTAAAAATTACTATTATTCATGCTACGTATTTTTCGTGTTACTATAATGCTCCATAATTATTATTGTCCCATAAGAGCATTGCCACATCAGCAAAAAAGATAGTTATGTTAAAATATACTCTCTTTCTGCCGTCAAATTTCTCTCAAAATAGAGAGCGTGATAGACAGTCCGAGTCAGCAAGAAAAAATCTATTTACACCTATAAGATTAAATTCAAACGATCACAACCAAACCTGCTTGCCGGTGTAACATTCTCGCAAAGATCTTGCCGCAGTCTGCCGTCCAAAGATCTCGTATCTTTGCAGTTCACCATTGTTGTTCCGTTCATAGCTACCGGAGTTGGAGGTATCTTCTAATCGTCCTCTGTTGGGCTTCCGTTGTCAATGGGGTAAGTAGGCTTGGACTCGGTGCTGGTCACCCGGCCCGGGAACCGGCCCGGCCCGCTACTGTGCGGGACCGGCCCGGCCCGGGAAACCGGGTCCGGTTCCGGTTCGGGCCTAGGCCCGGGGGGTCTACCGGTTCCGGGCACGGGTAAGGGAAAAGGGGAACCGGCCCGGCTGGGCCGTGCCCGGTTCGGGCCTTTTTTTATTTTTTTATTTTTTGATTTTTTTTTTGTTTGGGCTGGGGTTAGTTGGGCTGGGCTGGGTATTTCCGAGGGGTTTGGGGGTTGGGGGGATGGGGGGTGGGGGTGAAATAAATAAGAATAAATAAAAAAAAGAACCGGAATTGGCCCGGCCCGGAACCGGTCAAGACCCGGGCCGGTCTGGAGCCTATGGATACGGAACCGGCGGCCCGGCCCGAGTCCAAGCCTAGGGGTAAGCCTCAGATGTGAGGTCTCTCTTCTGAATATCTAGTTTCGTACCCTCATGTTCCGTTTCTACTCCAAGCGAGCTCGTCACCAGTTCGGTGGATCTGGCCATCTCCTCCATGGCTATTGAATTGGGGCTCATATGAAATGCTTCAGTTTCAGGTCCTCCCATGGTAACTTGGTAAGGCAACGACGACAATGGAGCCAAATTGGATTGAAGTAGTCGTCCTGTTCATGACAACCTCACCGGCAAGGCGGCAACAAGCCCAAATTTCCATGTGTTTGCTAGAGCTCCAATTGATATAGTTTTCCACACACATATATATAAGAGCTAAAACATCTAGTGCTACTTGGCTTTGGAGAAGGTTAATGAGCATGAGAAAAAAATACGATGTAAATAAAATGTTTTATTATGGAATGCGCTGAAGATATTTACTCAGAACTCATAGCGGCGTTGGAGATGGGATTTTTATTTTCAACGGGTGTGTGTCCATGTCAGCTCCATTACCGTTCATATGAGTGATGTGTCCATTTATTATGGGATGCAATCCACTCTTCCAAAAGGTGAATCTCCCACCTCAGGAGCCCCCACCCCGACACGACATGATGGTGAGGAGGTTAGTCACGGTGACTCAGTCAGCAGAATGACAGTAGGCCCATACATCGTGCGCACCAAAGGCCCAACCTTATTTCAGGTTCTGTGACCTCCACCCGGTCGCTGCGGGGATTCGAACCTTGGTCCATTATTCCAAATCTCCCACCACTCGACCAATTGAGCTACCCGTGCGGGTATGTGATGCAATCCACGTTCCCATTAAAGATGCTCTTAACATTGTGATATAAAGGTATGAGGCGATTATCAAGAAAAGTAACTATGAACATCTAAAATTAATTGGTCATTTGTTCATAAATTAATTAATTTATGAACAATAAATGACGGGTTGTTGTCATTTAGCCCCTATTTAAATGTTATTGGACTATCATCTGAGTTATTGGGCTTCTTCTAAATGCTTTGGGCCAATGTTGAGTTTTACTGGGTCACTCGTGATGATCGTTGGGCCTTATCAAACAACATAGTGATCTGGATCCCTTGAAAATAAATTTAGTGATTAAATTAGTTTGGATTATTTAAAATATCCAATTAATTTAGTTATAAATTGAGCTTTTAAAGCAATGAGTTGGTCCTATTAATTTCTTTATTTCAAGCCCATTATTAAATAGTGATTCAATATCTAAGAGACATGATCCAATTGATAAAGAGGGAAACAAATCTAGCTAAGAAATGTGTCTATATGCATGGATAATAGCTACGAATACTATTAAAAATGTCTAGATACATTGCATAAGTATTGATTTTTTGGCTATCAAAATGCAAGCAAATAGAGCCCAAAGCCCATTTTAATTAGGGTATATTAGGTTTGGAAGAATTTTGGAACCCTAAAGCATATCTCATCCCCTCCACACGTATAATAGGGGTCTTAGTTGAGAAGAATGAAGGAGAGAACTTTCAGTCGAAGAAACATCGCAGAAAAGCTCTGAAGAACTCCCGAAAGGCTCTGAACGATTCCGAAGAAGAGGAAGAGATCAAGTCACAAATTTTATTAAGAATATACGGATAATCCTTCGTGATTTCATCCATTCTTGATAAAATAAGCCCAAAAGTTGAAGAACGTTCGAAGTTTTAAAGAACGAAGCTTGAAGATTCGAAGATATGAAGAACGACTCTTTGAAGATTTAAAGATACGAAGAATGACTCTTTGAAGATCAAGTCACATATATCGGGAAGCCCTTTAACAGAAGATCAAGTCATAAAACGGTCATTTTGTTAAAGATCAAGCTACTTGAAAACGGGAGGACCTTCAAGCTGAATTCTGCATTCAAGAACATTTAAAGATCCGAAGAACGGAGATTCAAAGATTCGAAGATCTCAAGAACGAAGATTCGAAGATCCAAAGAACGTTCGAATATTTGAAGGATTAAAGATACAATTTTGAATTAAATTCTTTAATTATATTTATTTCAAATTGCAAGTGAAAAAAAGTGAAAAATCAGAGCATTCATATTTAGAGATTGTACGTGATACTCTTACATATTATTATTTTCGATCAACTTTAAGTAAATACTTAAAAAAAATTACAGTAACAATAAAATTATAATGATTTAGAACCACCCTACCAAATTTGACGTGAGACAATCTTAATGAGAATGACCGAAAAGGAAGATGAGACAATCTTTATAGGACGTGGGAAATATATTTTTTATAATGATTACATTATATAAATAACTACTCCATATTAGACAATTTTATTCAACTACTCTCTCCGTCCGACTAACAATGATACAAGAGGGAGTGACACACATATCAATAAAAATGAGTTTATGTGATTGATATTGAATTGATAAAATAAGAATAAAGTAACAAAGATTTTGAACCACACAAATTTTACTAAATTGGTATGAGACAATCTTAGTGGAATGAACCGGGAAAAAAAGATGGGACAATCCTAGAGAACCGAAAAGAAAATATGACTAACAAAATTTATATGATTAAATATAAATATTAAACCTAAAATACCCTTAATAAAAAAACATAATATGGAAAAAATAGAAAATTTAGATTTTTAGAATTAAGATAGCATAAAGAATAATTAAAATTTCAATCATTGTTTACTTTTTGATAACAGAAAATATATATTTAAATAAAGAAGAATAATACAAATTTATAAATAGGTAACACCATTGGGAAAAAAATTGAAAATAAAAGAAAAATATAAAATCTTAAGGAAACTAAATCAAAAAATGTCTAAAATTATTTTATTTAACTTGACTACAGTTGTACAATTTTCTTAGTTTTTAAAAAAATGTTTTAAAATATTTAGTTTAAATTTTTTAACAATATTTCTATATCTTTCGAATAATTAAAATTAAAGTTGATAGTAGTAATTAATAAAAAAAAGGACAAATACAATTGTGATTATTTAAAGCTTACACATAGTTCATATGTAAAATTGACCTACTATGCAAGGTTACAATCGGTAGAGACTATTTTTAGAAAATTATCAATATAGTTGGGACCATTCAGAAATAATCAATAGTTGAGATTATTAAAGGGAAGTCGAGAATAGTTGGGATTATTATCTTCAATTTTTCTTATTTTAAAAGTATTTATAAAAAAAAGATGTTACAGATATCATTTTTCTTATAACACTTTTTTTTGCAAAATTTTAATAGGGTAATTATTAAGTAAAAGTAATATAATTATTTTGATTACGGAAACTTAGTGTGAGCAATATATACATTCTTAATTTCACGTAAAAGTTTTAACTTCTTCCTTTAATTTTTTTAGTTTTCTATATATATACACACACACACACACACACACATATATATATATATATATACATACATATATATATACACATATATATATACACACATATATATACACATATATATATATATAAAATACGCATATATATACATATACGCATATATATATATATATATATATATATATATATATATATATATATATATATATATATATATATATATATATATATATATATATATATATATATATATATATATATATATATATATATATATATATATATATATATATATGGGAGGGTTCAAATACAAAGAGGTCTTCTCATGCAAAGTGAGAATTAATCTCGTGCATTCATTTCCAGATCTAATGGCTCAAAATGAGCCAAAAGTGAACTAAATTTGATCAAAAACGCGGTGGTAATTTCGTAATTAAAATGAAGTTTTATGTCATTGCGAAAAAGTACAACAGAATCACGCAAAAGTGATACGTGGTAAGGAAAAAGTGCAATCGTTCACACTTTGCACGGGAGAACCACTTTTTATTTGATCTCTTCCCAATATATATATATATATATATATATATATATATATATATATATATATATATATTCTTTTAATTGTAATTTTAGGGTGCATATGGTGATGTGGATGAAGGGATAGATTTTCGATCAAATAAAAAAGAAATCTAAATGTGTAAAATGAGAATTGATTTTTATGCTCTGAATTTCATATCTGATGGCTCTAAAAGTGCCAATAAGGTAGAAGATTAGCTTTAAAACATGGTGACATTTTCCTAAATAAATGGTTGTTATTGCTACCCTGAAAAATATGCAGTAGTACTAAACCTAAAAGTGCAGTGAAGTAAAACTGAAATTTTGACACTTTTCACGTTAAACACCTTTTTATTGGAATCACACTCTAGTACAAATTAAAAATTTTAACCCCTCGGCGAGACCTATTTATAAATTAAAAAGCCTAATGAAAATTAATGTTAAAAAATAATGCATAGAATAGTCATCTTAATAGACATCATAATTATCATTGTACTAATAAATAATATAAAATTATTGTGGGATGGTTGGAGTATTAATTAATACGCTGACGTGCACTTGTCGTGAGATGCACTCAAAATAAATACAATACAACGAGTATACGTAGTATAACGCATTAAGGTTCGTATCCACAGGGAAAGGAATATTTATCTTTTATAATAACAGTAACCAAAGGGGGTTTTGAGTTTGATTTGATTTAATTTAATTAACACTAAAATGAATGACTTAAATGACTTTAATTAATAGAGATGAAGACTTGGTTTTGCTTTTATTCACTTAATGAAATGTTCGTCGATCCATGTTATATCTTTAACTATCTTCCTCTCGAATACTCAATCGAGGAGTATAACCAGTTCATCGAGGGTAGTTATTAATAACGAGATGCGTTCATTAATAAAACTTACTATCGAGTCGATATAGAACAAGCGCCGTATATTAATTCGATAGTAGCAATAAGCTCAAGATGAAAACGATTGAGATTGATAACCTCAACACAAGCAGCTTATTGGTTTAATCAATATAATTAATTCCCCTTGGTTTATTAACCATGAGATGCATGCATTAACAATCCAAGTTTACTACCTTTGAAGGAACCGAATTAATAACAAATGTATTAACTGATTGATTCTAGTAATAATTAATAGATTAAACAAAACTAGTTGATCTTTAAAGTAATGCTCAAAATATTAATATGGAATATGAATAGGAAGTAATTAATATTCAAGGAAGAATGTTAAAGAAAATAACTCACAACTTACAAATCATTAAGCTTCAAAGTAGCAAAACCAAGATCGAAGAGTTTAGCTCCTCATTTGGAGACTAAACATGAAGAAAATATAAAGAAAGAACTATTCTAGACTGAGCTTAGAAGTATATAGGAATTGGTTATCTATTGTGAAGGAAAGGAGGTGTATTTATAGGCTTTTGGGATGCATTTCGGGTACTCGATCAGGTATATACACGGTACCCGATCGGGTATGTGTAGAATACCAGATTCGAGGTATACTCGATCGATTATGGGCTATGTTCTATAGGTATACCCGATCGGGTGTGTTTTTATACCCGATCGAGTATGTGTAAAAAATGATATTCGAGCTATACTCAACCGGATTTGGGGTTAAACTCAAAGGCATACCTGATCGGGTATGTCGGTCTACCCGATCGGGTATAGACACTCGATCGTGGTCAAAATCTTCCCTGTTTGTTCCTTTGTCTTCGGATCCGATCCGATTTGAAGTTACAACAAGATACCCGATCGAGTATTGATGATACCCGACCGGGTATAGACCAAAAATTCAGGATCCTTATTTTGTCTTGAGGTTATGCACCTTTCTTCCACTTTTGAGGTTCACCAACTGTCCTTTTAGTGATCAAGACCTGTTTGAGCTCAGAATGAACCTAATCTAAACAATTTACAAGAATTTAACAAACTAAACTATTACACCAAAAGTGTGTAATTTCCAAAGTAAAAATCAATCAAAACTAATTAAAAATACAAACATACACATGGAAATTACATGATTATCAACTCCACCACACTTAGTTTTTTTACTCGTCCTCGAGTAAAGTCAAATGTTCACAAGTGTCAAGTCTTCCACAGTTTCAACAATTTTAACAACATAAAAACACAAAGACCACCAAGGAAAAAACATGAATTTTAAGCTCAAATCACAAATATCATCTTGGGTTTTATGGCCTTCTAGTGCCCACCTTCTCTTCTTCTCCTCTCTTCTTCTTCTTTTTGAATCTTCTTATTCTCCAAAGAGATCAAATGAGTGCCTGCAAAAACAAATATTTCTCTCATATCTCTCATTTTGTCTAGGGGTTTTTGGGATTGTGTGATTTAATTTAATTAAACACCAAGATGAACAACTTATATGTGTTTTAATTCAAAGATAAAAAGAACTTGGCTTTGCTACTTTCCACTTGTTGAGATGTTTAGTCGATCTCGGTTATATCTTTAACTTAGCCCCTCTCAAATACTCAATCGAGGAGTATCTCCAATTCATCGAGGGTAGTTATTAATAACTTCATTCATTAACAACTCTTACTATTAGCCAAATATAAAACAACGTCATATACCGACTTAATATAACATTTAATCTTTTTAACTCCTTGATGAAATCAATTGATATTGATAACCTCAACACAATGGTTTCGGTTTAACCAACAAAACTAATCCCTCTTAAGTCTATTAACCACGACCATGCATTAATAAACCGAAGTTACTTACTTGTGAAACCATCAACGATTAACCATTTGTTCGTTGATTCTTCCTAGCAATGTTCTAAAAAGCGTTAGATGCTAGTCGGGCATAACCCCAGTGCCTAGCGTCTAGGCGGCTAGGCGGACGCCTAGGCGGGGACTAGTCGGAAACATATAAATTATAATTTTGTCAATATTTTTGCATAAATATGATTAGTAATGTTGTGTTTTGGTGTGTATAAAAAATTTACTCGTATATACACATTAACATGCATGAATGATAGAGTTGTCATATTTAATACTCCGTAATATATTATTTCTACTCCCTTAACTTCATTATGTAGTAAATATTACTACGTATTAAATACTAGTAATATTATCACTCAAGTTTTTATCGTAATCTACAACTAATAGCTTTCTTCATATGCCTTGTTAAAGTTAAGGGTATATATATTTCTAAGAATACTAAAATAAAAAAGCAAAATAAAATGTTCAACGAATCTAGACGCCTAGGCGGCCGATTAAGCGCTCTGGGCAGGTAACTAGGCGCCTTAGACATTCGACTAATTCACCTAGGCACTAAATCAATTAGTCGGAGCGCCTAGACTAAAATCGGGACGCCTGACCACCGCCTAGTGCCTAGGCGGGGACTAATCAGACGCCTAGAGCGATTTTTAGAACAGTGGTTCCTAGTAGTAATTAATGTTGAAGCGTTAACTAATCGTTACTTAGCAACACCCCAACATTAATATATAGAAATAAGATTAAGGAAAGAATTAATATTCAAGAGAAGAAGTTAAAAAAATAACTCACAACTTTAACATTCAACATGCTTCAAGAGCAAAACAAAGAAATAGAAGTTTAGCTCCTCATTTGGAGAGTAAACATGCTAGAAAATATAAAGAAATAACTATTCTAAATTGAGCTTAAGAGTTTACGTGAATTGGTGAGTTTAATGTGAAGGAAAAGATGTGTATTTGTAGGTAAATGGAGGTGGCAGGGTTGTGTACCCGACCAGGTATATAGGGTAACCGATTGCCTACCAAAGGCAGCTTCCCGGAAAGTGTAAAAATCTCACGTACCCGACCGGGTACGTCGGTCTACCCGATCGGGTATGAGCCCATATCTTCAATCAAATTTTAGCCACATTCATTTGCTCCCGAATTCGATTTTGAAAAACGAATCCAGTCAATACCCGACCGGGTATTGAGCACACCCGACCGAGTACATCAACGAATTTCCAAATTTTCATTTGACCTTCTCCCTTTTGCACATTCTTTGGTCTTTAGGATCTATCATTTGATCCTTTGGATGATTTTGACATGTCCTAAGCTCAGAATAATCCTAATCTAAATAAATTTTTTTTTTTACAAACTAAAGTATTACACCAAAAATGTGTAATTTCCAAAATAGCAAACAACAAAACTAAAAAATGGAAACATACAAATGGAAATTACAAGAGTATCATTAACCTTGTAGTATTTTGGGAATTATGTATTTAATTAGCATTATTCCATAAAAAAACTCGTCATCTGTCTCAGTTTAAACTTCCCCCAAACCTTTTTACACATCCCAACTAAAGCTTCCAATTTCTATTTTAGAAAATAATTAGCACTCTTAAATGACAACTTAACCATGAATTTTTAAAAATTATACACATATAACATCACAATTATCATGAATAACCTCTTTATATTATTTATCAATAAATCATCTTCTTTAGAGGTATTTGTCTTAAAATCTGATTTTTGGACTTTTCTTAAGTCTAGAAAGAGTTTGGGAAAAGATAGTGGATGGATCTTTATTTTTGGCTAGTGATAAATGCAAACCATTGATTAATTAATATAATTTCACGGTTTCCTTTAAAAAAGTTGAAGACACAAGTTATTAAATCAACTATTAACTTCATCTGTGACCTGTGGAACGTGCGGGTCAATTGACTAGTGTTGTGAGCATCTATTTGGAATTTTTATCCCATTAATGGACTAAAGTACCTCCTCCGTTGATGAATCTTTACTTTTGGTTAGTTGTAACTGCAAACCATTGATTAATTAATATAATTTGACGGTTTCCTTTTAAAAAGAGTTGAAGACACAAGTTATTAAATCAACGATTAATTTCATTTGTCACATGTGGAATGCACAGATCAATTGACTAGTGTTGTGAACGTCTCTTTGGAAGTTTTTATTCTATCAATGGACTGAATACTCCCTCCGTCTCATAAAACTTGATCAACTTTTTACTGGATGTTCCATTAATTTGCCCCTTTTTTAAGTAAAGAATCTGTGATTCCAATTAATTCTTTTCTTTTCAAAGTTTTAAGAAACTAATAAACGGATTAATTTAGGCTTTTAGAAACTATAAGAGCCGCATTTAATAGTTTCCCCGTTGTTGTCGCCTCTGATTGATGCTCACTCTCATTTTCCATCAACATGCATTACTCCTTAGTCGTTACACTTAACCGACACTCACTCTCATACCCTCTCTTTGTAATAGTGTAATACCTTACACACACAGGTGATAGGCCGCCCGATATTGGTCACGAAGGAGGTATTCGTTCTGATCTCGCAAAGCCGATTGATTCGTTCTGATCTTGAGAAGTGAAGAAGAAAAAGGGCAAATCTTTCACTTTATCTGAGCTTTCGGGGAAAAGAAGATGAGGCTGTGGAAGTCGGTGTTGTTCTCATTATTGTTGGTGACAGTTCTCGCCCCCATTTTTCTCTACACCGACACTCGTCTTGCTTCCTCTTGTAATTCCTGTTGCACTCATCTCACTCTCGCTCTTTCATTTCTCAATTTGTCTTTGATTAATACCGGTTCCTTCAATTTCTTTTTGCAGCAAGAGATGAATTCATTGAAGAAGTCTCCGCATTTGTAAGCGTTGCCCAACTTTTATTGCTTTCTTGATTTGTAAAGACTCCATTTTTATTTTTGTTTTCTCCTATTTCTCATGGATTTGGTTGTAGACATTGGGAGGTAAAATCAGGCCTTTAAATGTGCTAACCCAGGTATTTGTTTCTTTTGTGGCTGTCTCATTTACTCCAATATAGGATGTATAGCTTCTTGTGCATTTCAATCACTAGATTCTTTTATTTGTGGATATTCCTATCCAATCGAATCTAACAGGAGTCAAATACAATCACCAAAGAACCATTTGGCGTAGCCTATTCCGAATATCCAATATTATCCCATTCAAGATACTTTGACAACAGGAGGAATGAAAATGGCCGCAAAACGAGACAACTCACTGAAGGTTCTTGTTTACGGAACCGGGTTTTGTTTTTATTTATTTATGCTTAATGAATACTTAGTTAGGATTTGTTCTTGGGCACCTTCGAAAAAGCCTCACACTAAATAGACTCAGGTAGTATTATTTTAGCAATTCTCCCTTTTTTATCCAATGTGGAACTGGGGTTGCACCCCAATATTCTTTTTTGCTTTATTTCTTGGATTTCTGTAGGTAGAGCCTATGAAGTTTTATTCTGACCTGAAGATAAAATCATATGAATTGATTTTATTTATGACACTGATTTGATTCCTTAAACTCATCGCACAGTATAATAACGGTTTGGTATTATTTACCAGAATTACTAGAAAACAGAAGGACCGATGTTCAGGAAACTGAGAATGGTGTTGTTGATGATGCCATAAGACAGGTGACTGAAGAAGGGCATAATGCTACTCATAACGGACATCAAGTTTCAGTTCAAGAGGCGTCAACTGTGGATGTTGAAAGCACTGATAAGATTAATACCATGCAACATGACCAGAAGTCTGATTATTCCTCTACAACTGTGGTAAACCCACACTTTTGGTTTTTAAATGTGCTAAAGTGGAGACAATAGGTTCAATCTATCTATGTTTTCTTCTCAACGGTTTAGCTTATTCAATTATTCAATATCATAATCATAGTTTTAATGGATTATTTCTGAATGGTCTCTAGTGATAATTTTGCTGCTTGGACTCTATATTAATAATATTATATGTAACATCATTTTTTCCCATGAATGCTTCATTGTATAAATAATTTTTTCCCATTTTTTCCTATAGAGGGATTTGGAGGGCTTGATCTATCTCTGTATAAATATAATATTTAACCAACGAATAAATAGTGATTGAAATATTATATCATCACATATTGTTAATTCCTTCAATTTTTATACAATCTCAAATGTATATCAAGATGTACACTTAGTCCTCCATAACCCAACTCCTTTTTTTTGGATGAAATGCAAGTAAAAAGGTTTAAAAAATGTGAGCAAAATGTATGCTATCCAAAGATTGGATAACCCATCACCTCAAAAGATAAGATGTTAACTAAGCAACCTATGCTACTTCACGGTCAATCACAAGCAAAAATAGGTGATGGGCAGAAAGTTTATCAAATTACAACCAAATCACGTGGATAGATGCTATACAAAACTTTGTACACAATGTACTTTATCCTAGCAAAAACATCTTCTTCTTTGGGAGAGAGGCCATAAAATCTGGCAGCATTTCTGATCCTCCAAATCCAGTATATGGAGAAGCAAAGTGCAATCCATGAGGCCTTAGCTTGTATCCCAGCACCACTCCTTTCCTTCTTTATCCATTTCACCAAGCTAGCCAAAGTCCCCATGTGCCTCGGTATATGCATCAATCCTTCACCATGCTCCAAACTTTACCTGAAAATGGACATTCAAAGTATAGGTGTGGAACCGTTTCCAGTCCACCCTTGCACAATATACGAGTGTTAACCACGTCTAATCTATGAAGATTATCATATGTAGCCAACCTATTTCGGAATGCCAACCAAGTCGTAAAGGAAAACATAGGAGGAATATAATCTTTCCAAATAAAGGACATTCACCTAAGGGTGGGTCAGTGGGTGCCTTGGTCATAAGGAAGTTATACACCTTTGAGGATACAAGTTTCCACCTACTACTTCTATCTCCAATTGTAGCAGGTTTATAGGAGAATGGCAGTAGATTTGGTGCATGTGGTTGATTTTATACCAAATACACTAAAGGTTATTGTATTTCGAAATTGTTTACTTTTTGTGCATGTTTCTATTAGGAAAGAGCAAACGATAAGCGAACTCTTCAAACCTCAAGTATAATTGATTCTACCAAACACATGAGTAGCAAAACTGGGAAGCAGACTGAACAAAACGATTATACAGATGTTCGTGTCCACCAGCTCAGGGATCAACTCATCAGGGCTAGGGTATATCTTTCACTGTCTGCCACAAGAAGCAATCCTCAAATCGTAAGAGAACTCCGCCTCAGGGTGAAGGAAGTTGAGAGAGCAGTTGGAGAAGCCAGAAAAGATTCTGAGCTACCAAGAAAGTAATTTTTCTTGCATAAAAAATTCTCATATTTTATTGACTGTTACAGGGGTAGGAGTCCGCACCCCACTTATTTATCCAAATTTTCATTTTTAAAATTATAAGTTTTTGTATAAGATTCTATTATATGAGTGATTTATCGTGTATTCCAACATGTTTTATGTTATTTGTTATCGGCTCTATACATAATGCAAATGTATATTTGTGTGTATGGCAGTGCAAATGACAGGATGAAATCCATGGAGCAAACATTGGCTAAAGCGAAGCAAATTCATGATGACTGTACGGATTTTGTTAAAAAGCTGCGTGCTATGCTTCACACAACTGAAGAGCAGCTTCGAGTCCAAAAGAAGCAAGCATTGTTTTTAACCCAACTATCAGCCAAAACACTTCCTAAGGGTCTTCATTGTCTTCCATTACGTCTTTCAACGGAATATTTCAAGCTAAATTCCTCTCAACGGCATTTTCCAAATGAAGAGAATTTAGAAAATGTCAAGTTTTATCACTACGCCATCTTCTCAGATAACATATTAGCAACAGCAGTTGTTGTCAACTCAACTGTTTCCCATACTAAGGTAGTCATCAAGTCAATAGTATGCGCCACAAAATGAAGTTGTTAAGCATAATTTTGTTGTTTCTTCTGTCTTCCTGTGACGTTGTTGGAGTTCTACATCAAAACATAAAAAATAGTAGAATGAGTTAATAAGACCTTTTGTCAAGCTACCTAATAGATTGACTTCATAAACTAATGTGGTTTGGCCCAAATGTCTTTTGAGCCAGTTATGTGACCCCAATCTTGAATAAAGAGCACTACAGATAACCCATACTTGAATCTTTACCATTGGCTCACAGTTGTCAGTTGAGCCAGTTATGTGACCCCAATCTAGGTTGTAGTGCTCTATGCCCTCCAATCTTACCTTCCTCTATATTTTGTGTGCAGGATCCCTCAAAGCATGTTTTCCACATAGTCACAGACAGGCTAAATTTTGCTGCAATGAGGATGTGGTTTTTGACAAACCCACCACAGCAAGCTACAATAGAGGTTCAGAATGTTGAGAACTTGACATGGTTAAATTCAAGTTATAGTCCAGTTCTCAAGCAAATGGACAGTCCTTCCATGATTAATTATTACTTCAATGCTCGTACTACAGATAATGATTCAAACATGAAGTTCAGAAATCCTAAGTACCTTTCAATTATGAATCATCTCCGTTTTTACTTGCCAGAGATTTTTCCTAAATTGAACAAAGTCCTGTTCTTGGATGATGATGTAGTGGTTCAAAAGGATCTTACTCCCCTTTGGTCTCTCAATCTTAAAGGTAAAGTTATTGGCGTGGTTGAGACTTGTCGTGAAAGTTTTCATCGTTTTGATCGCTATCTCAACTTCTCAAATCCTCTGATTTCCAAAAAGTTTGACCCTCGTGCTTGCGGTTGGGCATATGGAATGAATATATTTGATTTAAGTGAATGGAGGAGGAGAAATATCACCCAGGTGTACCATTCATGGCAGTCCCTGGTAAGAAAATTATTTTATCTGCTAAGGTTTTGAAGTACTCTCTTTCCTTTGGCCTTATTGACAAGTCATATTAAGTTGGTAAGTGCTTTTAATTTTTTATGGGTAGGTTTAAAAGCCGAAATATATATGACTTTGGAGAGAGTGAAGTGGAGGGAGAATATACTGTGATTTTAACTTGAATTTTATGGAGAGAGTAAGAATATATATTTCTTAACTTTTATGATTAAATTCCACTTTTGGGTCTCACGACTGGTGAGTCCCTGTTTTGTTCCCCAACTTATAGGCATTCCCCCGGTCAATTTCAATATAATCTCTGGTTGATTTTAAATTTTTAACAGGATAGAAGTGAAAAAAGTGGCGAGAAAGGACTAAAAGTGAAAAAATGCAGTTGTGATCTAAATGTGGGAAAAAAATGAAAGTTCGAGGATAGATAATGAGAATGGCCCAATAGTCGGGAGACTACTTCTTATATCATCTATTGGTTGTTATACGTTTTTCGTCATTTTTCTCATAAGGATGCTTTTTTGTTAACACTGATAAAATGATGCTAATTCTATGTACAGAATAACAACAGACAATTGTGGAAGTTAGGAACACTCCCACCTGGTTTGATCACCTTTTGGAATCATACATTTGCTCTTGATCGATCCTGGCATGTCTTGGGCCTTGGCTACAATCCCAATGTAAGTCTCAAGGATATTGAAAGAGCTGCAGCCATTCACTATAATGGTAACTTGAAGCCATGGCTTGAGATTAGCATCCCAAAGTTCCGAAATTACTGGTCAAGGTTTATTGATTACGATCACGATTTTTTGCGAGAGTGCAACATTAATTCTTTAAGCAGCATTTGAAATGTCTAATGCATAGTCTCAATCCAAACTACTTTCTCCTAGGTCTGTGCTCCATTTCCCTTTCACCTTGGTTCACTGCCCAATTTTTTTACACCAGTCAATTCTTTTTCCTCTCCCCAATATCTTTTGGGACTAAGGCTTGGATGTTGTTGTAGTCAATTCTTTATCCTTTGTTTTTTCTAAGCGTTGGTTCTCTTTTCCTCATAGTAATTACTCATCTCAGTTTTGCTTTTAGTACTTTTCTTTTACATTGGATCCTGGAAAATGCTAAAAGAAAGAAAATACCAAGTTGTTTTCTTATATGTTTGTTTGTATCTTGGAGAAAATATGATTTTAAGTTTAAAATATGTTCAGTTTTTTATATTTATAAGTTTATATTATCGAACTCAAAAATAAATTTGAACAAGTATTAAAATTAAATTTGTTGAGTTTGAACTAATATTTTATCTTCCTCAACATTCTTTTTCCTTTCAAATTTTTCATACAGTTTTCTCCCTATTTTCTTTCGCTACCATTTCCAAGTTCCAAACAGACCCCAGAGATTTACACATTCAGCATGTGGAGGATTAGAATTAGGATGTTAATCTGTATTCTGTACTAGCAAATCGTTTGTTCCTTGTGCCCACTGTTTGGGCAAGTGCACTTAGGTACTGTAAAGGATTAAGTAGTACTGAAAAGTTGGATTATCTGAATAATCGATTTATGTATAACTCATGAATGTTACAATCGATTGTTATCTACAAATCTACAATTACCTTTTTTGGGTAATGTTTGCTGAAAAGTTGTTTGAAATAATTAGTCATGCTTTGATCAAACGATTATATTTTCTTGAAAGAGAGGTATGGAAACAGCCGAAACAAAAGTATTTTTTGAAATTTAACCATAAGCTATGAATATGGAACTTCTGAAAAACCACTGAAATTGGATGAACAACGTATTTTCCAATTAAAATCCATCCTGCCAAATTTGATAATTTTTTGTATACAGCTTCGGTTTTAGCGATAGCTAAACTCGTAGATCTTGGACATGCTTTTTGGCTAAAGGATCAAATAGATTTGTCCAATAAGCTCAAATCAGTCTTCGAACTAAAAAAAGTTCAATTCGAACTTAGACCGAAAAAAATGGCTCAATTTTCAGTTTTAACGGGTAAACATCCGATCACCCGTCACGCCACCGTCAAGTTGCCAATTGTGCCTTTATCATCAAGTTTCAATTTAACGGATTCTGAAAGCCCAAATAATTTCCTGAACATGTTTGAATTGTTCATTTAACCCATCATCTTTAAAAAATGTTCTAAATTGGGATAAATTCAAAATAAATTGAAAAAAATAAATATAAAATTATAAAATAAAGTATAATATGTATGGTAAAATTATTTATAGTTTCTGATTATTATGAAGAGCTTATTTATCTTTTATACTTGGTCATTTTTTTGCATGTTTATACATCTTTCCTTCTTTTTTAGTTGCGACACTTAATTCTATTATCACGTTTGTCAATGCACAATTTTGATCATTAATGTATTTTATTTGCCACTAATAAAAAATAGATTTTGATACTTTAACATGAAATGAAGTGAACAATATTTTTCAAAACTTAAATTCCTAAAACTTCAATAAATTAAATATAGTCAAAGTAGAGCAAGTCAGTATTGTAAAGTTTAAGAGTAAACTACTAATGTAAAAAAATACACATAGTAAAATTGAACAAGGTCTTCAAAATAAGTACTCCCTCCGTCCCCTTATAATTGTCCCATTTTTTCATTTTTGGATTTCCCTTTATTATTGTCCCATATCATATTTGGTAACATTTGTGTGGCTCTAATTCATTCTTACTTTATTTCCACTTTATCAACTCATTATCAACCACATAATTCTACTTTTCTTAAAAACGACAACACACCCTTCCGTACCAATATTAGGGGGACGGGGGGAGTACAATCTAAAGGGTAGCATGGTGCACAAAGGCATCCCCGCAAGGCGGGGTTTGGGGAAGGTTCCCAAGACTTGGACACAAATATGAACACTTATATGTGAACAACAAATCAATCAATAAGAATATGACGATTAAAAGAGAATAATAATTATAAAGATTGCTAAACTAAATCATTATTACAAACACAATTGTTGAGTTTAAGTCCCGAATGACCCGAATGCTCAACACCAACCTTGGATCTAGGGTTTGCATAATGCTACAGTAAACTGTATAAAGAAATATAAAAACTGATTGATTCACTCAAATAGCCTTGTTTGTATTAATGCAGTAATAACAATTACACGGAAATGGTCGAACGGCAGTTACGATCCGAAGGCTAATACAAGAGCTATAATGCAATATAAGCTAGTGAGTAAACAAATGCTAACCCTTTACGATTAAATAAATGCTGCTATTTATACTAATTTGGGGTAGGTGAGGGGTATGGAGTGATCTATCATGATTGGCTGCTTTCCAAGCCACTTGTGCACTCATGCTCCCACTTGAGACCTCCACATTCCTGCATTAAATGCAGCCTGTCACTTGAGCGAATCTCCGATCGGTATTAAGATCCGCTAAGCTAATGATCCAGAAGAACAATAATTGTCCAAGTGTTAATTACATTCCGTTCGGGATGTGCCGAACGGAAGTTTCTCTTAAGCCACCGAATTCCCGTTCAGGGCCATCCATTTCTCCTTGGGCTTTTCCCGTTCCCTGGGCCCTAGGGATATTTTGGGCCAGTATATTGGGCCGGGCCCTAATATCCCATCAATAATTAAAAAATGTCTTCAAACTAAACAAGTCTTAACACATTCTTACATTAAATAGATCCTAACATTAAATGACACATTACAAACACAACTCAACATGTACTGAAATGATATAATATATTCCAATATGTTCCTCATCTTCATGTGTATATAGCTAAATGTGCTCCAATTCCTTTCACAATTTGTTCCTCGTCATCCTTATTAATAATTAATTTGGTTTTAATAATTAAAATTTACATATTTAAACAATACATTAAAATTTCTATAAAATTGCAAAATCCAAATTAAAATTTAGTTAAGAATTGATATCCTAATTAAGTGATTAAAATGAGTCAGTTTGGCCCCAAAAAGTCAAATTTGCAATTCAATTTGAGACGGAGAGAGTAGCAATTAGTTAGTCTACATTTACAACATTTTAAGTGAGCATTGCACATGCATTTACGTTGGAAAAGTTTGGTCTCATACCCCGTACATGTACATTTAATTTAGAGTTTCACTTCAAGCACCATCATTAATGTATTTCACACCATGCACAAAATAATTACACATATATACATCAACTAATTCGTGATGCGGTGCCGGATGTGCCAGTAGCGGCCGGTAGCGGTGCGTAGCAGGCGACGTAGCGGACTGTATCGGTAGCGTAGCGGTTATGTAACGGATTTCGGTGTGATTTGAATTTCACACCACAATAGCGGCCCGTAGTGGTAGCGGAGGCTACCGCGACCGCTATATAGCGGCCGATATAGTGACAGCGAACCGCTATTTCAAACCATGGCTAGCGTGTACCGTAATGAGCATGTTGGCGTGCTCAATATAAATTGTTCCCGAAGTATTGTGGCAATATATCCGGTTTACCCCCTACACTTTTAACTTGGTGAAAATGGATCTGTTGGCTTTCATTCTGTAGCAAGTATAGTCGTTATTTAGTTTTCATCTCTTCGGTGTAACACAATCTTGGTCAGACTAACATGTCAACATAGGCCATAACCGATCCGTTGCTGGAATCACAAAGTAGGAGATCCCCAATCAGAGTAAATATTTCCTGGGTCATTGTAGATTGATATGTATATGTATAAAAATATAAATACTTACGAATTGAAAGCTCAGTACATTTTACCAATGCATTATAGGTGTGATGCAAAACAAATGTTTATGGGGTCTTCAAAATGCTACCATTGTGAATTCATAGTTTCTTTATATGACCATAAATAATGCTCCATTATAAGAAATTATGAATTCTATCATTGAAGACCTCATAGCATCCTCCCAATAGCTAATTGAAGCCTTAATAGAATGAATTGAATTCTTAGTTGGGAACACCTACAATTTTAATGGAATTCTCTATATTTCATAATCTAAACTCTATTGAGGGAGTCCCGCTCCTCTCCGGCCACTTATAAAATTAAAGGCTAGGATTTAATTTTTACCAATCCTTTCCTTATATTCATTTTAATTGCTACAACACCTACACGTACGACATTCTCTGTCTAGATCTTCTTATCTTTAGGGAAGAAAATACATAACCTTACCCGTTTTTTTTACTGTTTCTTCTCTTTTGACTTATCTTCCGATTCTTCACTAGCAGAGGATGGAGAAAGAATGCTTTCAGCTGTACAATCAGAAAGTGTAATATCTTTCTTATTCAACATTCGAAGGTTGGATTGTTGTTCACCGTACCACAACTGAAGGTATCTCAAAAATCTGGAAAAGTAATTATTTTATTTCGTTGGAATGAATATCTGAGTAATGCATTTTAAACGTAGTGTACATATGTCCGCAATACATATCTGAGTAATTATTTTATTTCGTTGGAATGAATATCTACAAATTGAAGAGTCCATATATTTATATTATTGAAAATTGAACAGTCCAAGTTTCAGAAACTTTAGTTCGGTATTGGTAATTTTAATTTGAAATGGGAAAAAGACATAAATAAGAGTAAAACGTATTAAAGGAATCTAAATACGACTTGAACTTTTTTAACTCTCGTATAGGACTAATTATGAGTTAAGAGACAAATATGCCTCCAGGATAAAAAACAGCGTGCTACACCACTGGCAACTACTCCGTAATTGTAACACTCGAACTCGGCCTCGCATAAGCAGGTAAATCCCTGCCGTGTGGCTGCTCCGCCATTACCCACTGCGCTAGAGGTCGTCACATGATACTCCATATATGCTTTATATTATTGTTCTCGATCACATGATACTCTGATACTCCGTAACATACTCTGTCATTTTGGAGCGGCGGAGCTTTGCGGCGAGACTGAGATCCCATCCCTCGGCAGCGGCGAGAGTACAGAGGAACTTCGTTCTACAAAATTGAGATCTGAGAAGCGGAACTTGCAATTCGAAGGTGTGAGTGCGCTGTGCGAGGCTATACGTGTACTGATTCCGGCTCTCCGGCCTCGCGATGCAGAAATCAAACGTCTACGCATTAGGAGTTGTGCTTCTGGAACTTTTCCTGGCCAACTCCTAGAGTACAAGTCTGCGAACGATTTGTTAATATTGTTTTACACCTTTACTTTTCAATTTCGTAGTTATGGTAGTATTGTTGGGTGTGTTTCGGAAAATAAAGGAAATGAATTAAAATAAATTAATTAAATAAAATGACTAGAGAAAACAAGAAAGGAGATGAAGCAGAATTAGTCAAAGCTCGTGCTACGCACGATGTCCTTAAAACGTATTTGCACGATGAAAACAATCGTTGCAACAATTGTTGGGTGAGATAGATTTTTGGACGGCATTCGTGTCCGCAGGTCGCCCGCGCACAGGAGTCACGGTTTTTCTTCTCCATTACAATGTCAATAACAATGTAATAAGAATAACAATAAAAGTGGAACCAAATAATTTTAACAATGTCATAAAATGGAACAACGTAACGACTCTCTACATCAAGTATGAGTAAATTTTATAAATGAAGTGTGAGTAAATTAAGCATGATAAAAAATAGAAGAATGAAAAATCGAAATAGAAAAAAGAGAGGATGGAAGAAAAATGTGGGGGATAGAAAATAAATATCGAAAGAAGAAACAAAAATTA